TTTATATTTATATTTAAAAAATTTAACTAAATAACTATTACATATATATATTATCATAATAATTTTATTTTTTATTTAAAAATTTAAATAACTAAGAGTATCTAAAATATTATATATAATTATAATCATATCAACAGTTATTTTTATTTTTTCTTTTTAAGAATAGAAAATACCATATTGCGTCTGCTGTTACTACTTTTATATATATTATCATTATTATATTATATATTTATATATATAAAGATACTAATTAAATTTAAAGGGAATCATGTAAATTGGGATATTAATGTTTTTAAAAAGAACAGCAAAAACAAAAATCGTCTAATAACCTCGACGGACAACACGCATACTGGTATATCATCACTTCGTCACTTCGTCACTTTCATGTTTCATCTACTGCAGAACTGAGTCTCTGTTTCTTCTGCCAAAAAACTCCCCAAGTCCAAGATGTGGAGATTTATACGTGCGAGCCCGCACGTCCTCAAGAACCCAGATGCCACGATCTCCAGAACTTTACTCGTATCTCGCAATTGCACGGACTACAGCACCGCAGCTGCCGCCATCCAGACCCAAGATACAGTGAGAGAAATCAGCGACATTCTCAACAATCGCAGCGACTGGCAATTATTCATGGACTCATCAGACATACCCAGAAGGCTTAACCCGGAGATGATTCGATCCGTTATCCACCACAACAGGGCTGTCGACCCGAGGCGCCTTCTCAACTTTTTCTTCTGGTCCCAACAGAAAATTGGAACTCAGCAACACCGACAAGAATTGGGTATCTTATCTCTTCTTGCTGTTTCTCTTTGCAATTCTAAATTGTACAAGCTTGCAAGTGAAATTCTTGACCTCATGATAAAGAGTTGTAAGTCCCCATTAGATAATTTGAGTTCTATCGACAGTGCTTGTAGGGATTTTGATGGGTTCAATTCAGAGGTTTTCAATATATTGATTGATGGCTATAGGAAATTGGGAATGCTAGCTGAGGCTGTTGATGTGTTCTTGGGTGTCGATAACGTCAACTTTTTGCCTAGTTTGTTCTCTTGCAACTCATTGTTAAGAGATTTGTTAAAGGTTAATAAGGTGGAGTTGTTTTGGAAAGTATGTGATAAAATGCGTGACAGACAGATGCCTTTTGATGGATATACCTACAGTAACATCATTGGAGCTCATTTTAAGGATAATAATGTTAAAGAGGCAAAAAGAGTTTTTTATGAGATGGAGGAGAAGGGATGCAGCCCCAATGTGGTCATTTACAATGTCGTTATCTGTGGGTTAATAAGAGCAGGAAAGCTTGATGAAGCTGTTGAAATGAAGACAGCAATGGTTAAGAAGGGGTTCTTGCCTGATAGTTACACTTACGTGGCTTTTATTAATGGGTTTTGTGCAGAGAAGAGATTGGGAGATGCAAAGTTGGTTGTTTCTGAGATGATTGGCAAGGGTTTAAAACCAAATGCATTCGTATATAATTCTCTAATTGATGGGTTTGTAAAGCAAGGTGACCTAGAAGAGGCTTTTAGGATTAAGGATGAAATGCTTGCTTCTGGAGTTAGTGTAGACCTTCTCATATACAACATGCTGCTTAATGGGCTTTGTAAGTCTGGGAAGATAGATAAAGCAAATGAAGTTCTAAATGAAATAGCCAGGATGGGTATGATACCAAATTCAAGAACTTATAGTTTGTTGATTGAAGGCTTTTGTCGAGAAGGTAATATGGCTAGAGCTTTTGAAGTTCTTAATGTTATGAAGAAGAAAAATATAGCTCCCACTGTGATAACTTACAGTGTGATAATTAATGCACTATGTCGTGTTGGAGATCTCCAGCAAGCTGATGCTGTTTGGGAGGAAATGACTGCAATGGGTTTGAGGCCCAATGCCATTATCTATACAACTTTGCTTTCAGGTTATACTAGGGAAGGTAAACTTGTAAAAGCAAGACAGCTGTTGGAAAATATGAAGAAAGAAGGGATTATGCCAGACGTAGTTTGCTACAATTCGCTCATAATTGGTCTCTGCAAAGCCAAAAAGATGGAAGAAGCAAGGACTTACTTGGTTGAAATTCTGGATAAAGGACTAAAGCCAAATTCTTACACGTATGGAGCTTTCATCCATGGGTATAGCAGGGTGGGGGAGATGCAGATGGCTCACGGGTGCTTTAATATGATGCTAGATTGTGGTGTAATGCCTAATGATGTAATTTACACAGTTTTGATTGATGGACACTGCAAAGAAGGAAATACAACAGAAGCATTCTCTATATTTAGGAGTATGCTTGCTCGAGGAGTTCTTGCAGATGTTCAAACTTTCAGTGTACTCATTAATGGCCTCTCAAGGAATGGAAAAATGCAAGAAGCTTTAGATGTCTTCTCAGAACTTTGTGACAAGGGCTTAGTTCCAGATGTTTATACTTACAACTCTGTCATCACTGGTTTCTGCAAACTAGGTGAGACAGAGAGGGCTTTTCAAGTTCTTGATGAGATGCACGTAAAAGAAATCAGACCAAATATTGTTACTTACAATGTATTGATTAATGGGCTTTGCAAGGCAGGTGATATAGAAAGAGCTAAGAAGTTGTTTGATTGCATTCTGGAAAATGGATTGATCCCCAATAATGTGACATACACTACAATGATTGATGGTTATTGCAAATCTGGAAATATAACTGAAGCATTCCAATTACTAAATGAGATGTCACTGAGAGATGTCAAACCAGATAGTTTTGTCTACAATGCCCTTCTCAGTGGATGCTGCAAAGATGGAAAATTGGAGAAAGCATTAGAGCTATTTGAGCTTATGTTGCAGAAGGGCATGACTACAACTCTCTCTTTTAACACATGGATAGAAGGCCTCTGCAAGAATGGAAAGTTACATGAAGCCGAGCAATTGGTGGAAAAAATGGTAGAATATCAGGTTGTGCCTAATCATGTCACCTTCACAACTTTAATTGATCAGCACTGTAAATTGCAAAATATCGACAAAGCAAAGCAACTATTTGTAGAGATGAAGGAAAGGAGTCTATTACCAACCACCATAACTTATACCTCACTTTTAAATGGTTACAATAAAATAGGAAATAGAGCTGAAGTTTTTGCTCTATTTGAGGAAATGGTAGCAAGGAGAATTGAACCGGATAAAATCACATACTGTGTAATGATTGATGCATACTGCACAGAAGGGAATGTGATGGAAGCTTTGAAATTGAAAGATGTGATGCTGGAGAATGGGATGCCGCTTACTGTGTGTACATATGAAGCTCTTATTGGAGCTCTACTTGAAAAAAAAGAATTTTCTGAAACATTGAAGTTGCTTGATGAAGTTGGGAGGAGCGGGCTTAGCCTCAGTTTTGCCTTGTGTAGCTCCATAGCTAAAGGTTTTCATGCAGCTGGTATTATGGATAAATCTGAAATTGCTTTGGAACTTATGATAAAGTTTGGATGGATTTCAGACTCCATTAGCTTGGCTGACTTGGTTGGGGGAGATAAAAGCACTAAAGATGTTGAAGATTCCAAAAATCTCATGAAGGAAAAGATATGAGGGTGTTCAAATAGGTGAAAACTTCTATCTTTGTGCTGCTTCTCATCCATCACTCATGGATGATTTGGCCAAACAGCTGCATCAGATGAAATTCTATGGAGTTGTCAAGTGATGTTAGCCCCTGGTGCTCTGTCTGAGCCAGTGGCCATCCTTTTCTGCACTCCCATGATTGAGGTTTAGGCCAGCTGGTATATTTGGGACTCATGAAGGTAATGAATGTTTTTTTCTTTTGATTATTAACTCATCATTTTATAATTAAACCAAGAAAATCATGTTCCTCAGAGAAAAGAACCAAATACCTTTGACACTACATATCAGCCAAAACAAAATTACAAAAACAAATTACTGTATGAAACCATACCCAGCTGCTGACCAAAACACATTAGATGCTATTTTAACTTCTGCTTAAGATTAGTTCTGCATCCTTTCTGTACAAACAAACCCAACAAACTCAAACCCTAAACCAGCAGATCGTTGAGTTAATTACACCTTGGCGACCCACTTAATGGAAATTGATTTCCAAAGAACAAACGCTGGTCTTTTTCTTTTTCATGTGCAACCATATAATGGAAATTGATTTCTGTACACATTCTTCAGGTTTCAGTTTGATGGTCTAGCCAGTATATTAGGCAGGAGTGTCACGTCATTAGCAGAAGTTCTTGAAATTTTCATTTTTATGGCTGGCATAACCTCTTTCAAGTCCTAGGAGAGGAGTCTTGTTTGCTTTATGTTAAGCCTGACAGTTTAATGGGGAGTACATTGATGCTCGGCTAGCATTTTCCTCTGCCAATTGGTATTGCAGAGGTGAGAGAAGAATTGATGTTTTTAATCTCGAAGATGGTCCTGAAAGTCGCTAGTTATCTGCAATGCAGTTTGTTCTATTTTGTCTCTGCTTCAATATGCCCCTCGGTATGATGACTTTTTATGTATAATTTGTTATGTCTAATTCTGAAAGTTTAGATATCCCAAATTGAAGCTGGGGATAAGGAAAGGTAGAAGGAGAAGGACTAGCTTGTTGCTTGATAATACTTAAAAGCAAACAGAGCTTAGTAAATGAACTTCTAAGGTGTAAAAGAGATTTTCAATTTTATGTATATTTATTCACATGAATTTTCATTATGCACCTATTGAATTACTGTCATTTAAATTACACTTTCATTTTTATTCTGTGACATAAGAATCAAAAGAATAAATGGGAGTTGGCATAAAAATTGATTCTACACTGGAGCCACTTATTTGCTCGGCTGAAATAGTCATATCATTTTCTCAAATTTATCCAGTTTCTTCACCCTTTGCATAGACCTAAGAAGCAATGTCATAAAAACTCCTGCATTTGCAGAAATAAAGTAAAAAAAATAAAAATCAATCAGCTAGAAGAAAAGAATTTGGTAAAAAAGGTCTTTTAAACATGGCGTTGTTTTGGGATGAGAAGATGTGTTCTTACCTGCGCCAATAAATGATCCATTTGCAACAATTTGACTTCCTTGAGTGCTCAAGGTGAGCCCAAGGTTTAACAAGGTACCTCCTAAGACTGTATATATAGTTGCCATCTGCAATATGGTTGCTTTCCTAGCTGCTCTTTCCGACTGGTATACAAAACATTGAAAATTAGCATATCAAATTAACGCAACATGAGAACCAAGAACAAAAAGTTTTACTATGATGTGTAAGAACAGGAATGTTATTAAAAGTTTTCGATTTAAACTTCTGTTGTCTCAGCAGAAAACAGTGATACAAACTTACATGCAATCATAATTGAGAGGTATAAAACATGTTATCTACTAAAGGCATGAGGAGACACTTACCTCGAGCACCCGGACTCTGAGTTTTAGATCTCCTGATTCAAGCTGCTTCACGATTTCTTCTATCTGCTGGACTCTGTATGGCATGGATATTGTGGAAGATCTAGCCTGAGAAGAAGCAAAGATGCTTTTAGAGTCAAAAGTCAATGGAGTATTTCACATCCTCCCATGCCTTTTAAAAGAGATCAGAGGAAGCTCAAGTATTTTACAGCAAGTACAACTATGAACTGAAACATTGAAATTAAAGAAAAGGAAATACAGGTGAAGTACAGTACATCGTCAGCCTGTTTTCTTAGTTCCTGCACTAGCTGAGTTCCACTACGGTTCTGTTTCAGATCTAATAGTTCCTGTACATATAAGGGAACTGTTAGTGGAGCAAAAATCTAAAAAAGACAAGTTTTCGAGTATTGGAAGAGACTTTAAGAAAAATGTGGTTCAAATTGTCCAGGAAAATGTCAAGATATATGTAGAAAGACCTGTGCATAAGGTGCAGCAACCTTGACAAATGAAAAATCTGGATCAAGTATGTAGCCAATACCTGCAAGTTATATTTATACTTAGGGAAGATCACTAACAGAGAATAGTTTTCTTTCAAAGATTTTTAATTTGTGAAAATCATAAACTAGAAGACTTCTTCCGTTCTTAGAAAGATTGTGCTTCCCTGTCATTTTGAGTGAGAGAGAGAGGAAACCTTCGAGTGTTGAAAATGCTCTAATGACAAAAGTAAATGTGGATGGGAACCGGAATGGTTGATCTTGCGCTATTGCAAACAAGTCCTACAAGGGAGCGGGAAAGAGAGCAAATATTTGCACGTCAGGAATCATTAAACATAAATAGATCAGTTAACCATAAGCATGAGAGATGATTCAGCATGTCTTCTGCTTGGTAAGAAATTAACATTTCTCTGTTCCAAATCATCTTCATCCAGCATATCGCTGTATAGATCCCCAAAAATTTTGAAATGTTATATGGCTCTTTTTCCCCTTAGATATTTATTGAAATGGTGCAAGGATTAAAGAATTACATAGAGTCTCATGAAAAGATACAAATATTCTCTACTTCACCAATCCATTGACATGCTCGAGGACTTTCTCCATTTTTTTTCATACCTCTCCGATTGCAGCCAAAGTCTGCTGCTGATCTGGTTTCTGGCCCAATAGATTGTTTAAGAAGAACTGCACAGATCTTCTAACCTAAAATAGAAAATGTACATAAGATAATTCGCAAAACTAAAGTGAAAGCTTGGATAGCCCTTATACATGCAGAGGATCTGAACAAGACATACAACTAAAACTGAAAGGGACAGGGACAACCACACTACTGATGAGAAATTCCTTGTTCATAAAAGTTAATGGAGTGATCAAGCTAGCTTACTGATGACATATCCCCTGTAGGTTGAAGTGCTTCAAGATCGATGAGGCTTTGGATAACCTGCAAAGCAGCTCCTTGTCAGTCTTCGCCATGGCAAAATGGAGACTCAGTTGGATAAAACAGAACTATTTTGGCTATATCTTAGATACTGCAATTAGTGCTGAGATGGCCGAAAAAGTGCAAGAAATGATAATAGAAGACTAATAAGTCTATTAGTCCCTGCAATATAAAAGTGATTCAACTTATAATGACATGATACAGTGGATGTACCATACTTGCAAGAGACAAAATTTCTCAATTTCAGTACTTGGTATTTTTTTGTTTTAAGAAAATTATTTGATGATGATATCAAAAGAATTTCTTGTCATGTAAGGGACTAGGTAAGTTATTTTATTTTATTTTGGAGGAAAAGTAATTTGAGAAGTTATACGTACAGAGAATGAAAGGAAAAATAGTAAAATAGAAAATCTAACCTAAGCAATATTGTATGTATATATCCTTGAATAAATTATTAAGTTGAGAATTGGCCCTTAATTTCTTCAAAATAATTCAGAATTTAAACCAAATTTGAAAATCAATAGTATTTAGAGATAAGAAAGTATTACTTTTTTTGCATCTTTTTCATATACAGCATAGAAAAGGTCAAGCAATCTCCCCCGGGTAAAGGATTTGATTTCGCCCATCATACCAAAATCATAATAGATGAGTGCTTCATCCACATCAATAGCAAGATTTCCAGGATGAGGGTCGGCATGAAAGAAACCAGTCTTCAGAATCTATATATTTAGAAAATCACAAGTCTTTAGATTAAGCATAATATAACTAATACAACCATGAGGCTGCAAAAATGAGATTAGGGGACTTGTTTTGTGGCATCAGTAGTCATTATCTTATATCCAGAAATTAGGAGACATTGATATACAGAGACATGGTTGTTTCATTTACCTGAATCAAATATGACTCAATAGCACGCGATGAGATTGTAGAACGATTGTAGCCTCGTGAATCTATTGCATCCAACTTATTTATCTTAATACCTGTAAATAGGTACATTTCATGTCTAGAATCAGTTCCAAAGGTCTTTGAACGGTAAAGGCTTACGAGTACAGATAGTGGGTGAATAAAGCACAACAGTTTAGATAGAAACCTGGGACATACTCCAGTGTCAATACTTTTGTGGCAGTATAATCCCAATAAACCAACTACATATAAAAACAAGAAATTCAGAGTAAAAATGAGTCTACTGGTTTTAACTTCAGTATATTCATATATATATATATATATATCTGAAAATTAGTTCATACGCATAATCTTTTCATAGTCTAGAAGCAGGAAACATACAGGTACTCGGACCCACTTTATATTCCGAAAATCTCGGCGGAATCTATCAGCATTTTTCCCTTCATTTATGTAATCAATCTCTTGATACAAGATCCTGGAATCAATGCATTCAAACTAATAATCATGTTCAGGCTAGACAAGAGAATAGAGACAACAATTTAGTAGGGACTTATTTGTAAGGGTGTCAACATTATGCAGAATGATGGATAAATATTTTGTGCTAAATAAGTTTTACATCATCTTCCCAGCTAGGTTACCACTTACGTGGAACATTCTTCATAGATGCCAATCCAATCTCTTGTTGGGCCTCCAAATGTTTCACTTTTCTGAAAGTACTCTGCAATTAGCTTCAAATTTCCTGGATAGAAGAATAAGCTATGAAAACACTAATCTTGATTGTTCATGCAACAGTATAAGAAGCAGATATATTAGTCAATCTATAAATTCATACTACATCTTTTGGAAAAAGATCAAGAGAAAAAATGCATAAAGATGCATATATCATCTGAACTCTCTCATTTAAATGAAAATAGACGTCCACCTTTTAAGTGAATCCTGACATGAGGTGTCTTTCATTCATTTTTAACTCATGAGAGTATGGTTTTGTATGGAGAGGAAAAAATTCCCAAGCACATCTATATTATCTCGTAAGTACATGAACCAGTTGATTTTGACACCAAAAGAAATTGTACCACTGACTGTCTAGAGAAGTTGATCAATATATTTTGCCATAAAACAGTTTGTAATGAACCCAGATAATGAAAGAATTTAATGAAAAGAAAGATAACTAAAAACGAACTGTACTTACAAAATATCCACTTCATGATCAATATGATGAAATTGACAGAAAACAAGTAGACTTACGCAAATCAATGTCAAAAAGCTTCTTCAAACCAGGTCTTTGAACTTTCACAACTACTTTCTCTCCATTTGGCAGCACAGCCCGATGTACCTACAAGTTAAAATCAATGTCAAAAAGATCCTCCAAGTTAAAATCAGCAACTTCAGTAACAATTGAAGGTAAAAACTGAGTTCACAGAAGGATATTAGTCAGAAACTTTGTGAAAATCCAAAACTACATTTTTCATCTCTCTTACTAGCAAACGTGAAAACAAAAGATTCATAAGCAATTATCAGTTATCTATCTGGCTATTATTCAAATTCTGTTTCCTACTTCCTTTCCAAGTTAATAACTCCTTAGTAGCTAACCAAACAGTGCATTCAGAAGCGCAATGATATTCATGAAGAAACCTAAGTATAAAAAATACAGAAAATAGTTTAAAGCTTTTGACGAGGAAAAGCATGGATACATAAACATCAATCAAACACCTGACCAAGACTAGCAGCAGCAATTGGCTGGTCCTCAAACTCCTTAAACAGTATGTCTACGGGAGCTCCCAGTTCCTTCTCAATGAATTTTCTCGCCTTCTTCGGTGAGAAAGCAGGGACCCTATCCTGATGAATCATAATATAAGAACAAACATCATTTACATGAAGAAAATTCAGGAATTAATAATCAGAACTCCGAAGATCACTGTAAGACATGCATCTAATGAGAACAAACACAGAAAAGAAATTTCAAATACCTGTAGCTTGGCTAGCTCATCCACAAATTCCCGTGGGAATAGATCTGACCTTGTTGAAGACAATTGTCCAAGTTTGATGAAGGTTGGACCAAGCTGCAATACACGCTCTCGTAGCCACGAGGCAGTTTTTCTCCTCCTATTTTTCTGAATTAGATAGACATAACTTATAAGAACCAAAGTTGACATGATGGCAGCAAAATATCACTCCAGATTTCCAAAAAGCAGCATAATTCACCTGTTTTTCTTCTGTGAATCCACCTATATACGCCCACTTCGCGTTATCAAACAGGACTCTGACCCTTAAAGAAATAACGAAAGACCAAACGTCTATAGACCTTTGCACAGAATTGTAGTTCTCATTAGCCCAACTGAAACTTTCATCCGAGGGCAGAACCCTTAGGTCTTCTGTAGGAGGAAGTTTCTTAGACTCTCTACTTTTTGGGGCCTTAACCAGAGCCGATGTAGGAGATTTCCCAACCATATTTGCCCCATTTACAACTTGATTTACACCATTCACTTTCTCTACTTCACCATTTGTGGAAGGTGGAATTTTCCTCTTCATCACTTCGCTTGCTGGTACCATTTTAATTGCTCTTCCATTGGTTCCTAATCTCGAAGGTGATTCGGTCTGTCTCATTTCTACTAGCAATTTAACAGATCTATTGGTCATTTTTGGGGTACCGGTTTGCCTCTCAAATTGCACTGACTGACTTGAAACTGAGCTTGAAAAACTAAGACCATTCATTGACCTCCCAAGATTATTTGATTCAATATTGCGGCAATAACAGCTATTTGAAGCCAACACTGCTGCCATTGAAGCAATAAAAGACCTACAGGCTGGTGTAATTAACAAGAAAATTAGGTAAAGACTATTACAAATAATAGAACTCTGAACTGACAGATTCAAATATATTTATACATATATGTATCGATATAAGTACTTATAATATCATATATAAAGAAATAGAACCCAGTGACAACATACGAGTTGTTGCCAATCCATATACACATATTCCATTACTTAGCCGTGCATTTAATAGATAAACCCGAGAATAGAAAACTTCACAACACAAATTAACATCTCGTATAATCAACTGACAACGACAAAATGCCCATTAGGAATTGAAGGTGCAAATGATCAAAACCGGCAGGCTAGTAACAAAAAACAATTTGAACAACCAGAATTCTATCATAAAAGAAAAAAAAAAACTGATCAGGCAGAACTCAATTGAGAAATAGCCACTGAAAGGAGATGAGGAAGAAAGAAATGACTTGTTGACCTTGACTCGACTCCTTTATCCCGATGAAAAAGCACCCTTTGATACACTTTAACGATTCAATCTCATGACTCGAAGGCTGAAACTTATTGGGCTTAAGGAGGAAAAGAACGAGAATTGAAACTCACTAGTCCAACAATAAAGAAGAAGTTTGAAATTCTTCAACAGTGAACATGCACCAGCTCGCTGAGTTGAATGGCGTGGCGTGTCCTGGTTGCTAAGCACAGTCGTTCAAGCCTCTAAGACATTGTTTGGGAAAGGAGTAATTAGATTTTCACTCTCTTTTATTTGGTGACGACAAATCAGAGAGGAGCGATCGGTTCAGGACAACCACCATTCGAGTTTATTGGAGCGTGTTCAGTTTCTTTTTCACATACGGGTTGAGAAATCAATTAACTCACCCGGGTAGTACAAAACTTTGGTCACTGCAGAGTTTTGATTGGACGTTAGTTAAACGGAA